CAACCCTGGACAGCACTCCCTTGCCCCGAGGCAACTAACTTATTCAGCACACTTTAACTACTGGCGCCCTCTGGTGTTGAAATGTCAGATCAGTCCTTCCCCTGGGTGGGTTCTGGTAGGCAGGTTAGTGAACTGAGGTTGTAAATAAGACTTTTCTTTTCTTTTTAAAGATATTTATTTATTTATTTATTTATTTATTATGTATATAGCATTCTGCCTCCATATACACTTGTAGGCCAGAAGAGGGCACCAGATCTCATTACAGATGGTTGTGAGCCACCATGTGGTTGCTGGGAATTGAACTCAGGACCTCTGGAAGAGCAGTGGGGCTGGACTTTGCTTTTCTTTTGACAAAAAAAGCCAATCACACATCAGTCAACTCAAGACAGCTTGAGGAAGAGGAAGAGAAAGGGCTTTGAAAAGCCGAGTGCCTGGAATGAAGCTACCAAGGGATGGGGGCAGTGGGTGACTGAGGTATCCAAGGTGGGAACACGGGCTCCTGGAGGCAAAGTGGAAACAGAATACCTGAGCTACATTCATATGATGTGGTCCAATGAGCCACCTATGTCACACACACAAACGTGCACATACACTCACATATGCATGCACACACAGGGGCACACACACACACACACACACACACACACACACACACACACACACACACACACACACACACACACCGGGGAGGTTTGGGGGGCACTATGAGGGAATACCAAACAATGCCATAGACCCAAACTGCTCCCCACTCATAGCCCTCAACTGCCCGGTAACATTCATTTGCACTGGCTTCTTGGAAATGAAATTTGCCAAAAAGAAACAGAGCCACTTTGCCCAGGTGGGGCTCCAATTTATGTATCTTAAAGAGCCACTATTGTCCTGTTCCTTAGGTGAGCTGAGTACCCACTGTGTGCAGGAGGGGTCACAGCAGCAGGGCCGTCATAGACAAGCCTGGGATTCGGTCTCACAGACCTGCATCCTCTGTATTATGCTCTACAATTTGGGGGATTTTCTTCCTGTTTTCACCTTTTCCCGAGCTGACACTAAAGGGACAGAAGGGACAGGCTATTAAATATCCTTTTAGAGCAAGCCACAGCGGAGGATGTAATTGGGCCTGCATGGGCTCTTTCTGCTGGGGTGAGTTAGCTCCTGCAGGTGGGCACAAATGCACACACAAAGGCTTGGAGAGACCTAAGGCAAATGTTTTAACAGCAGCTACGCCTCGGGTGGAAGTACAAAGACAACACAAGCGCACGGTTTTATATGCACGCATTTTCCTTACGTCTTGCGAGAATTGCTCACAGTGAGGATGTATCTTTATATTACCAGTGCGCACTTAATTCTAAAAACAAAAATGAAAACACCGTTATGGACAAGGGGTCCAGTTGTTAAAAAATAACAAAGGTCTGTATCTTGAAGCTGATAAAAGGTCTTTCGTGTTTTTAAATATCCAAAGTACCTTTGTATAAAAGGAAAGCGGAGGTGGGCGTGGTGGCACATGCCTGTAAACCTAACACCCAGGAGCTGAGGCAGGAGGATTGCAAGTTCCAGGCTAGGCCTTGTCTCAGAAAATGATGGAGGGGGAGGGTCAGGAGAATTAGGAGGAGGAGGAGGAGGCACCTGTCTATCTGTGGGACTCCGTACAGCCGTCCTCTGAGGCAGGTGGCTGCATTTACTCTATTATATTCAGAAGGCAGAAGGGCAGGTGGTGACCTGCATGTCACCCCCCAAATCAGGCAGCAACCAAACCAGGACCACGAGGGCTTGTCCCAACCCATAGTCTCTACAAACCATAGGTTCCCTAGAATTCTGCTACTCTGTTTTACCTCCTGCAGATACCATGCGTCTTGATCCAGGCGAGCAGCCCGGGACCACGGCAGTTACTAAGATGGATCTCAGAGAGAGCCGGGGGCCAGGGATGAATCTCAAAGCTAGGCCCTTCCCAAAGTACACGTTCTTCTTGCCTCGGTGCACAGCTGTGATACAGTGAGGGGACCCTTGAAGGCTCGATCAAGCTCAGGGCTTTGGCAAAGCCCTGCAGGCCAGACCTCAGCCTGTGATGGGGATCTGGCTTCACCTCCTGGTGTGTTCGGACTTTGGGGGTGGCTGTACTGAAGTGGGGGTGCTCCGGTAGAAAGGAAATGGGGAATGGAAGGGCTGAAGTGGCCTAAAGACGAGGGCACACATCAGGGCAACACACAGGTAGTAACCTGAACCTTGGTAGCACATTTCGAGGGTGCTGGTAATGGCTTCTGGGCTCTACAGAGTGAGAGGCGGCCAAAGGCCCCAGACAGTGCTCAGCTGGAATGGCAGGCAAAGACAGGAGTGGACCCTTCCATCTGCCTGCTTAGAGCCAGCATTTTCCTGTCCTCTCTTGAGAGGCTAAACTGCCCAGTACTTGTGTGAGCCTGGTCCCTCTGTGGTGGTCAAGGCAGGGAAAGGACAGCCCGAAGGTGAAAGGTCAGCTCCTGACAGGTTCCTGGTTGTACGACCTGGTGCTCACTGCCCAAAATCAGTTCTCTGCTTCTCTGTCATCCAACAGTTACACAGCATGTGACATTCCCTTCACTGTTTGACCACACACAACGGACAACCGGGGTCCTGGAAGGTGACATCACTCAGGTGCATCACTTAGGCCCAACCCAACCAGCGCTGTCTGCCAGTATGTCCCACAACAGCAACGCAGCCTCTTAATAACATTCCTAAGCCAAATCCCTGCCACCAAGTCATGCAAGATATAACTGTACTCTCCCCACACCCCAAGCAGACAAAGGGCAGTGCCTGAAAGAGCAAACGTGCAATGGTTGCACAAATGTGGCTCAGGTAATTTCAAGTTAAAGGCACAGTGTGACCAGGGCAAGCGACATGGGTCTGTCTGCGCAGACTCAAGTTCTGAAGAAACCTGTTTTTACTGAAAACACTGGAACCTGTTCCTAGGAGGAGTGTCACCAGAGCTGAGTCCACAATGGTGAAGAGATGGGGGCCTGCAGAGCAGGAGGTCAGGGCAAAGCCATGCCTACAGCAAGAAGCAGGACTAGGCCTTCATGGGATATTAGTTTAACTGTGTAAAGACGTGTTGCATTTATTTACCTTGCCTGCCTAAGGTAATTGGTCTAATAGAAAGCTACATGGCCAATTTAGGCAGGAGGTACAGGTGGGACTTCCAGGCAGAGAGACATTAAGGAGGAGGAGGAATCTAAGCTCAACAGAGGCAGAGAGAGGCGGAGGTAGAGGAGGAGGTGCCAGGGGCCAGCCAACCAGGCGACAGACAAAAAGGAAGCAGGAAGCAGGACATACAGAATGAAAGAAGGGTAAAGGCCCTGAGGAAAAGCAGATGAATAGAAACGGGCTAAATTAAGTTATAAGAGCTAGTGAGACAAGCATAAGCTAAGGCTGAGCTTTCATAGCTAATAATAAGTCTCTGTGTCTTTATTTGGGAGCTGGTTGGCAGCCCAAAGAAAATTCCAACTACACCAGGCTCCATGGGGACCCACATGGGTCACTGACTATACTAAAAGTCTCCTCTCTCTTTGTCTCCTTAGCCTCTCAGTGATCATCTTCTTCCTGGCTGCAAAGCATCCTGGAAACACTGCCTCTGTGTTCTCACTTTGGTTGAGAGCCTTCTCAGTAGGGGTTCACGAACGTTTTCTTACCTTAGGGAAGATCTTAGGGGCATTCATCTCTCTCCCTGCTTTTGTCTAGCGTGTGGCCTGTTTCTCCCTCCAGTCTTTGCTACTTTCCCTCCTATCTGTTTGGTCCTTCCTTCCTGTTGTCTTTTCAGACTTATGTTAGAATCCACTGCCCCAGGCCATGGCAGGTCCATCCTTGACTCTTATCTCTCCACACTGAGGTCCTTAGCCAGAGGGTGACATCTTCTCTATAGCTACTGACCAACCCCATCCACTCACTGGGTGTCAATGACCAGGGGCATGCTCCTCAAGGACAACCCATCCCCAGCTCAAATTTATCATTTTGGCCCCAACCCTGACCTCCCTCCCATAGCTCCCATCGCAGAGACTGCTCCATTATTCTCCCAGCTGTTCTGGTCACTATAGACGATGAACTAGTCCTTTAATATCTTGCAATTCTCTTCTTTATTTCTACTGCAACCATGATTTACGATGTCTGTAATGTCTCAGTAAAGTCGCTTCAGTGACCAGTTTGTCCATATGCTATTTATTTATTTATGCTCTATTTTTTAATGGTTATTATTTATTGATATAATCAGGATTAAAAAATAAAACCTGATTTAAAAGTACTCTCCATGTGAATACCTTGCTTTGTCCGTGCTTGTTGAACACTGTGGGCACATTGAACCGTCTACAACTAGACCCTTTATTCAGGTTTCTTGAATGTGTTACCACTTCTCGCGTCCATGGGTGATCACTGGGGCCACTCAGCACACTCAATGGAACCGACAGTTTGCGGGTGGCATCTCAGGAGCATAGGGAGGACTACAAGCTGCAAGGGTCAAGTTCCACATCTTTTGATAAGCTGGGGGCTGTGTACAGGTCACTTCATGTCTGAGGCTCAGTTTCCGCCATGGGGATGTGGCCATCTATGTACAGCCCACAGAGGATCATTCAGACATCTCAGGTGACAAGGCCCAAGCATGTTTATACCCTAAGAGTCAGCTCAGAACAAAGACTGGAGAGAGAAAACCACCAGTTTATGCCAATTCCTTCAATAACCTAACTCTAAAAACATGCTCTCCCTTTTGGCCGGCCCACTGCCTCTTTTCTTTAACTCTTCCATTTTGCTTTTCTCAGGTTGCTAGCATCTTCCTTGTCATGGTTCTTCTACACTCATGATCACTCTCTTCAGAGAGAGGGAGGTCTTAAAAGGTCAGGGGATGGTCAATGGCTTATCAAGGGTTAACGCTACAGCCAAATCTAGAACCCACTTTAGAAAGCAATGCTATACAAACAGAATGTTTTTACAAAAAGGAGAAAAAATGGGGGCATGTGGGTACTGGGCTGAGGGGTCAGGGAGAGACTTACCTTTACACTGCAAGCCCTGCCGCAAGAGGCCCCAGAGCAGGGACCCACAGTGGTCACAGAACGTCGGGACCTTGTAGTTGTGGATCCCAAACTTGTGGGGCATGTTGACACTGAACCGTTGGGAGCCCACCTGCAGGGATAGGAAGACACAGCATCAGCATCTGAGAAGACACAGCATCAGCATCTGGGAAGACACAGCATCAGCATCTGGGAAGACACAGCATCAGCATCTGGGAAGACACAACATCAGCACCCAGCATCTCCAGGAAGTTCCCTGTTCCCTGGATTCCTGGAGGGGCTCTTAAAGAATCCCATCCTCCAAAGGCACATGCCATTGCAGGTTCCGAAAGGAATCTCTTCTCTAGCTCAGCTTTTGCTTTTGAAGTCGTTGTAATTCACAAGCAGGAGAAGAAACATCTTCCCACGCATACCCCTCCAAGACATCGGTCCCCTGCACAACTGTAACACACATTTAGCAATGAGCACCTCACACTGAAGTCACTCACAAGATGTCACTGTGTGCTTTCAACATTGCTTTGTGCACAGAGGTCTAGCTGAGGGAAGAGAAGCTTCCAGCAGCTGAACCAAGGATCCCAGAAAGTAACACGTGGCTGCAGCACAATATGGAAGGTGATGATGACTATCAGAGTAATGTCCATAGGTGGGCACCATTGCCTTAAACTCTGCCACCATGATATGGGGTGGCCTACTGTTTCCTCAACTTTACCAACAAGGAAATGAAAGCAGTGTTGAATTCAGAACCATGCCTAAACATCTAATAGATGCAAAGACAGGCTTCAGTCCCCACAAGTCTGATTCCAGAGATCGGGGCTCTATTCTACTGTTCTGCTACTTGCTCATTATTAAAAAGTGAAAGTCAGAATAGACAGGGAGAATTCAGGCAGAAACTTAGGTGTCTGGTCAGTGGCCTAAGCAATGCCAACAAATCTCTAATGAGGTCTCACTCAGGTTTCCTGAGACCTCAGATTTCTCAATTGGAAAATAAAGATATTCCCCCTGCCCCACCTGATGTCACAGGAGGATGGGATCAGTGAAATAATGTAGGAGGAGAGATGGGGACATGAAGGGGTCTACAGAGCCAAGAGTCACCAACCGGCACAGTCTACTTCCCTATGTCTTCTCAGAATCTCTCTAGAGCTACTCCTTGTCAATCTGGTGAAGTAGCCACATGAACCAGCCTCTCCTAGACGGGGCAGGAAACCATGGGAAGGAAGAGGCTCTTCTGACACTAAGCATCAGGGAGGGGATGGTGTATAGTGTACCTTGGGTCGTCAGCTGAATGTGGAGTGGAAAGGCCTCCTTGGAGGACTCGGGAGTAATGACAGCTGGGCACAGACACTGAGTAGAGTGTAACTATGAGGCCATGCCTGTGGAGTTCCTAGTCATTCATCTCCCAGAAATGGCCGGTCCTTCCATGGAACCAGAATACTACTAATATCTCCTTCACACGTGAATCTCAGTTGGGATCAATAAAGACTCCAAGGTATCAGAGAACAGTGGGAAGATAATGAGAGGCACATGAAAGATCACACCAGAGTCCTATGGAGAAGCAAACACAAAGACCACACGCACACACACACACACACACACACACACACACACACACACACACTGTGGAGTGCACATGAGCAGGACTCTCAGAGAAAACAGAGGAGGAGGAACAGGGCAGAGAGAGCATTGCAAGATTAAAGGAAATGAAAGGGAGGTTGACACAGAGACAGGGCATTCTTGTTTACCGCACCAACTAGGGGTATGTGAACTGTTAGATCATGAGACACGCCACTGGCCAAGTGTTCATGGTGGAAAAGAAAAGGTCCAAGAAGGCCCTCATCAGAGCTGTTTGCTTTACTTTGAGATGGCATCTTTCTATGTGGCCCAAGCTGGCTTCAGGCTTGACAAAGTAGAGCATGTTTTAGTAGAGGACGTGGGAAATGAAGCGTTTGGGGCTGCAAGTGTTTATGGTGTGTGCAGATGTATGCATGCATGCTCATTACACTAAAGATAATGACTCAAAAGCCGGGTGTTGATGGTGTATGCCTTTAATACCAGCACTTGCAAGGCAGAGGCAGGTGGATCTCTGTGAGTTCAAGGCCAGCCTGGTCTACAGAGAGAGTTACAGGATGGGCTGCAAAGCAATACAGAGAAATCCTGTCTCGAAAAGCCAACAACAACAAAAGATGCGCAAGACTGTGATGGGGACACCAGGATGGGCAATCCACTCTACCATACTAAGAAATCCCATTCTTGAGACCCTGGCCATTTTGTCTCTGGGGACACATGCCATATTTAGGAGCATGCCTTGCTGGAGACGTCCCACTCAATCTGACAGGAAAGACAAAAGGAAGCACTGAACTGTGTGCTTCCAATCTCAGCTGGACACTGCGCAAAGCCCAGAGTCTCATGGGGCGCTTCCCTTCCAGGAAGTGAGGGGAAGCTGCGGAAACCCGAGGTTCCCGGGCACAGAGGCCTGTGAGAACCATGAAGTCGGGGTTTATGTGCCCTTTGCTTCCACTGTATGGGACACAATGCCTACCACACAGGAAGTGCCCAGTAAATAGTCTACGAGATGTCCATAGGAAGGAAGTCTGACGGTAAAGGCACTATCTCCCTCTCCATCATCTTGGGAAACCAACGGCAATAACAAGGTCCTGTAGGCTATAAACCTAGGGTCAGCAGAACCAGCTTCTGGGTTGTACTTTATTTTTCCTTCCTTGGGACAGGGTTTTGTGTATCCCAGGCTGGCCTTGAACTCACCACAAAGCCAAGAATAACCCTGAACTTTTGTCCTGACCCCATCTTCCTAGTGCTGGGATTACAGGTGCATACCACCATGCATGTTCTAGATGGAGACTCCTTATTTGGCTGAGAGTTTTTAGGAAGTGGGTAGAAGGACTCTGTAAGTCATTTTGGGGAACTCAGATTATATATAAGCCTTCTTCATTCTAAACCCGGGTGTCCAGTCCTCCCAGGGTTCCCCTGGCCTGGTTCTAGTGATTTACGGTTATACAATACTCGCTGCACTTGGAGTTGAAAGCACACCTTGAAATTCACTGGCTGGGCACGCATCACCTCCATACTCCCCACCACACCTGCAATCTCTCTCAGGAAGAAGGTCTTCTAGCCTAACTGTGGTACCACTGTCCCGATTCTTAGAGGAAACCCGGCTCCCTTGTAGAATATCAAATCCCCGTAGTGCTGGGAATTTTCCTTAAAGCTAGACTGACACTGATTTCTAAGCTTAAGAGACAGGAGTCAAAGGCTCAAAATCTGAGACAGACTGTCTGGGTTTGAACACGGCATCTTCTCAGAGTAACTGTGTGTCTTGGACAAGTTCTGTGACCATTTTGGTGTTCCTAGTCTCTCTATGCCAAGACGAGGACAGTAATAGCTACCTCCTTAAGGTTGCTATAGGGTTAAATAATACATGCTAAAGTGATTCCTGAGTCAGGGTGTGGTAAGCATGCAGTGACATCACTCCAGTCTCTGTCTCCTACCTGCTTCTTGGGTTGTTCATTTCAGTTTCCGATGACCTCACTAAGACACGGGTCTATTTGCTTATCACCTGCACACGGACATGCCATTGTGTCATTTCAGAGTCCCAACGAGGTAATAAAACGAGACTCTACATTTCAAAGCCAGGTGGTGGTGATGTGCACCTTTAACCCCAGCACTGGGGAGGTTCTGTGAGTCACAGACCAGCCTGGTCTACAAAGTGAGTTCCAGGACAGCTGGAGCTACATAGTAAGACCCTGTCCTGAAAATGCATTAATAAATACATAAATGGACGAATAAATAAACCCCCACATTTCTCTCATGGTCTTCATCTCTGGGCTGGTACTTCACCCTGGTAAAATTAACTCAGCGCTGTGTTCCTTCAGCAGATGGTGCTTCAAGCTGGCAGGTAGCGGTTACCCTTCATGCTTGCTTGCTAAGTACGATGAAGACAAATGCAGGGTCTCAGAGTGACAGTGTCCCCTTGGGGAGCCACACCAGGGGACAGAGAAGGGAGAGGCTGGTAAGGAAGACAGCAGGAAACCCAAGTGTTGTAAATATTTACCTCGTCAGGGGTTTCCTGTTTCTTTAGGCCGGCACACTTCGTTATAATGAGCTCATGGCATCGCTTGTGGACGACGCAAGTGCAAACTGTAAACGGTAGAAACATAAGAAGCCCGAGTGAGGAAGCGAGAATTCACCCACGATTTTATCAGGTCTCGGTGGAGACATGTCCTTCAGACAATGTCCTAATCTAATCTAAACCCTTGTCAAGACCATGGGCTTCCTAAACATCCTGAAGAGGGATGAAAGCAATCTCAAAGGGGTCTGGTAAGTTCTGAGGAGGCTGCTCAGCTTTCCCGCTGTCATCTGCCAAGGTCAGGGAGCACCCTGCTGCCCAGCTCTGTTAAAGGTTCCGCACTGTCCCTCCTTCTCCACTCAGGACCGTGTCGCAAGGACTACTTATTTGGTGTCAAGACTGCAGCGTGTAACACAGGCGCTCTTAGGCTAACCTGCATATGATCACCATGTGCCACATTTAGAAGTTTCCATTGACTTTAGTAAGTCTACGAAACCTGGCCTAGGCTGCTGGGTCACTGGTAGTTAAGAAGGTGTCTGTCTGCACACACACTGTCCCAAATCATTGCAACCATCAGCACAACCACCCCTCAAGGGCTGCTTGAAGTCACACTCTCCAGGGACACAGCATGGCCACCCAGTTCTCACTAGAGGGAAGTCTTGAAATGACCACATCTGGGTTCCACCTACTGGTACAGCCTGGCCTTGCATTTGTAGTCAGTTATCTCGAGAAAAGCAATCGCCAGCACCTCAAGTGAGCTGTTAGTGTTTAATAAGGACTCCATGGTAGGAGTCACCCAAAGAGAACCAGTAAGACAGAACCACACAGGGCTACTAACAAGCCGGTGGTAGAGGCCCTCAGAGAGCCTGAGAAGGGGGAGCAGGGCGAACACATAGACCCAAGGAAGACAGGAGATGCCAGTGATCCTCTAATTGAAGTGTTACAGCTAGTAGAAAATAAAAGAAACAAAATCAAAGCAGTCCTGCCTTCTGCTACTGCAGCCACAGTGCTGGCAGAGGGCACTTACTGGGGTGCCAGGAGATAGGCGGTGCTTCTGTGGCGTATGTCACACATGTGGTAGGAGTGACAGCCAGGCAGTGGCAAAGTTGAGGGGGTCACACTTCGAGAGGGAGGACAATGAACTGAACAAAGACTCTACACGTATTCAACCTTGCAAGAATGTTCCAGAAGGGGTTCTAATCTTAACTGAACTACAGGCTCCAAAAGATAAGGTCATAAAAATGCCTCTTACCTTGACATTGGTATCCCTGTTTTCCTATGACACCCCTGAAAGGAAGAAGAAGGAATTTTACTAGGTCAAAAAATAAACAGACAAAGTCACGCAATTTCGGGCACCGCCCGTGTTGTACCGAGTACTGTGGAGTCCGCTGAGCAGTGTGACTTCCCTGCCACTTGGACGGTTAAAAATGCCTCCCAGAAGGCCACAGGGACAGCCTCACTTGTGAAGCAGGTACAAGTCCTGCTTGCATTGACATCTGGCTTCTTGTTATACCCGTGGGGGTAGCAGTGCTCTAGAAATCCACAAATGATCCTGCTTGCTCAGGGCAGGAGCCAGTCAATTTAAACACCCCCTCCTCATGGATAAAAAGGGCGTCCCTCAACTCCTAGCACCAGGGCATGCCCACAGAGGGCTCTGTGATAGTAGGTAAGGCCTGCCATTGACTGACATACCCCTGGGCATCCCAAAGCCTGTCAAGAATTATGGGCAGTCTACACGTCTAAGCTAAGTCACTTCCAGTGGCCATGCTAACCTCGGTGACTTGCTTTATAATGAAGAACAACACTAATGACTTAATTTATTTTATCACTTTTTAAAGATTTATTTATTATGTACAGTGTTCTGCCTGCATGTGCCTGAAGGCCGGAAGAGGGCACCAGATCTCATTATAGATGGTTGTGAGCCACCATGTGGATGCTGGGAATTGAACTCAGGACCTCTGGAAGAGCAGCAAGTGCTCTTAACCTCTGCGCCATCTCTCCAGCCCCAACTTAATTTATTTTTATTTCATGTGCATTCGTGGTTTTTTATGCATGCATGTTTGTGGGAAGGTGTTTAATAGCCTGAAACCAGAGTTATAGGCAGCTATGAGCTGCTGTGTAGGTGCTGAGAATTGAACCCAGGTCCTCAGGAATAGCAGGCAGTGCTCTTAATTGCTGGACCATCTCTCTAGCCCCACTAATGACTTCTAGAACCAACAGTGCCTCAGAGGCCCAATTCAGATGTTCATACCGAAACCTGACCCATTGGCTCTCCTCACTGGTTCCCAGTGTGTGGACTTCTACTCCAGCTCCAAAGAACTCAGAGAATGTGCCAGAAAGCCTGCTTCTTATCTTTTTTAATATGCACAGTAAAACGTATTTTTTAAAATCAGAATCTAATTCCTGTGAAACGTTCAAACCTCATACCCTTGAGCCAGCTGTCTTACTGAGGAAAACCTGTACGGTTGCTGTCCAATTCTTCCTGGCTCATGCCAACACCGCACTGTGGTGAGAATCAAGGAAAGGAGTACTCTTTCCTTACCCAGGTGTCTTTTCAACTTTAAAACCAGAGTTCTAAAGAAAGATGCCACAGTTACTGTAGATGGAGCTCCTAAAGTTAATAACACACAGCACACTTGGATTGTTATTAGAGAAATATCTCCTTTGCTTCAAATTAAAACACAGTGCTTCTGTCTTGAAGAACTTTACTTCATTCGTTATTTGCCCTCTCCCTTCCCTCCTGTCTTTCCCTCCCCCTCCATCCCCCCTTCTCCCTTTCCCTCTTCCTCCTTCCTTCCCCTTTTTTCCCTTTTACTTTCCCCCCTCTCCCTCTCCCTTTCCCTCTCCCTCCCTCCCCTCTTTCCATCCCCCTCTTCCTCCCCTCCACTCTATTGGGTCACACTGTGTAGGTCTCGATGACCTGGAACTGCTATGTAGACCAGGCTGACCTTGAACTCACAGAGCTCTGCCTGTCTCTGCTTCTGAGTGCTGAGATCAAAGCCATGCACCACCACCATGCCCAGAAGAAAACCTTTTCTAAACACATCAACACTTTGGATTGAGGTTCATCGTCTCCCACCCCATGAGAAGCTATGACTAGAGGTAGTCGGAGCGAGGAACTTACCAGATGAAATCTCTGCAGTGGGAGCAGTAGGTAGGCTGCCGAAGGTAGGTGGCCATGAACTTGTGGCCATTGACCTGGTGGACCCTGCGCCTGACGGCCCCTTGCCGCTTCCTGGGCCGCATACGCTCCCTGAACACTCGTTCTTCATTGTCTTTAGGAGCTGCAGAGAGACAGAAGCAGAAAGGCGACCTCATGGGTTTGTGCACGCTAACACCGACCTTCGGGCAGGGGTGGGCTAGGTGGGAGGCAGCATTTCTGCTGCCAGAATGGCTGAGGGCTCTGAGGCTGCTAGGTGTTCACCTGGAAACAGTGAGCATCGGGGGACAGACCCAGAATTCACACATGCACATCTTCTCCCGTCTGCCTGCGTCCTCAGAGTCCAACCCACTGCAGACTCTTGCTTCCCAGATGTCCCATCCCTTCATGCCCAACCTACAGGTTTTGATGGTCAAGGGGGTCAAAGCGTTTACTGTTCCAATCTTAGCAAACTTTTAGGTGGTGTGATCCCGGACAGGTCAGAGGCAGGTCCGTTGCCACGGGTCTCGGCAGGCACCTCTCTCAGTAAATGGGGGCCATGCCGTTGGGCACGTGGTGTGGCTGGGAGCTGGTGCTGGGAATCCCTGATCACTTGCTGCCTGGCTCTAGTAAGTCTTCCTTGTCCCTCATCCTCAGGTTACCACAATCGATCCTTCTCAAAGGTCAGAAAGACGGAGGGCGGGATAACACCGAGAAAACAGAGGGATCCTCCAAAGCTCAAGAGTACAGACAGAAGAGCATCTAGTTAGGCCACTGAGGGCAGAGGAGAGAAAAGGTACTCCCAGGAACAATCGCCGGCTGTGCTGAGGGAGCTGCAGTACCCAGGTGGCCTGCTCCATGCTTGCTGGGAGCCTGCCTTAAGGTTTCCAGGCTGCAGAGCTAGCACAGCCCGAGATGACGAAGATGGGGGGGTCTGCCCGCTGCACTTTGACCTCTTGGTCATCTGCTTCCTTGGGATTCCTTGTTAACTGGTGGCTATTGCTTCAAAATGTCCCTACTGACACCAACTCCCCCCTGAGTATAGAGAGCCCATCATTTCCTGTCCCGCCACATGCAAGGCCCTTAACCCAATGGCCAGGTCCCACAGCAACACCCCTGGTGACTTGACACAGAGGGTCCCTTTGCACACATACACGTGCATGTATGCGTGTGCACACATAGTTACGGTGTGCACGTGATGATCAGAGGGCAGCTTCCAGGCATTGGCTCTCTCCTTCTACCGCACAGGTCCCGGGGATAGAACCCATGTCAGACTTGGCATCAGGCTCCTTTAATCACCAAGGCCTCTCACCAGCCCTGAGTGTCCCCTCGTTTTCACAGGAGGAAAGTGAATAACTAAAGATCCAATCTACGTGACAGGAATTATTTGTTACAAACCTGATCTACAAAGTCTAAGCCCCAATCCTGGCATCTCAGGATGGTGTTTTTTGTTTTTTGCCAAAACAAAACCAAAAAAAAATCATCATTTACTTCTTTCATAAAACTCACTCCAGAATATACTAGAGTAGTAAATCAGTTCCTAATACATTTAAGATGCAATCAGATTTGCAAGTTTGCCAGATATTTGTATCCTGGAAAACTCTGTTTTCAGTTAAGACGGTGAGAAGTCTAATCCAATTTTTTCCAAGGAACTCTGCCATAGCTGTGTGGCGAGTTTTCCCCCCAGAGCCTGACCTCTCAGCTTTCTGCAGAGACGACCAGTAGTTCAATCACATGTCCCAAACTGTGTCCCGATCTGATTCAGAGGGACAATACAGCAACTAAGGAAGTCAACTGTATTTATGTTCAGATACCCATGGGAGGGGTCATGGAGACTGGTGGTATGTTATAAAGTCACCCAGGTTAAGTGTAAGGGAGGCGTCTGTGCAGGTCACTATGCGGACAAGAGTCACTCCTGCATACTGGGGTCTGTCTGAATGGAACTTGCTCAAATATCTCTATTATTTCAGCCTCTGAGCACATCTATCTATTATCTATCTATCTATCTATCTATCTATCTATCTATCTATCTGCCTTGACTCTTAAGTTAGATTTTATGTCAATGTATGGGGGAGATAACAGGCCTTGGAGGCTCAGGCCTGCAATCCTACCACACAGGAGACTGAGTCAAGGGGATTGCTGTAATCTCCAGGCCAGCCTGGGCTACAAAGGGAGACCCTGTAGAGATCAGGAAACAAGAATGAGGTCGTTGCAGATGGGGGATGTCTTCTGGGAGAAGGGATGGGTGGAAAAAGCTTAAGCTGAGAGTAAAGTCCGAGGATGGGGGCAAGGGATGACAGTTCAAGAGTTAACTAGTTAACTGAGGAAGCCACGCGAAACCCTACTATGTGGTAAGCCAACTTAAAATGTATACTTGGGGGAGGTGCAAAATTATGCATGGCTGGATGATGCCACTCCCAAAACTATGAGTTATTAAACAAAACTGTCAGTATCAGAAAGTTAAGGAGTTCTTTAAGAGTTGTTGGCCAGGGAGGTCAGAGGCTCTTGTTCTTCTTCTTGGTCCTGGTCACACTCCTGGATAGGACTGTCTTGCTGAAGACATTGTATACCTTCCCTACAAGACATCAAGTTGGAACTGAGCCAGAGGCTCCCTCCTAGAACTGGGCTGAGGGCTACTCTTGTACTGTCTGAAGCAGTAGGGAAATCCTCCAAAACCTTATAAAGAGAACTGCTGCATGGACCAGCACCCCCAGCTCTGGGTCTACACCCCAGAGAACTGAAATCGGGATTTTGAAGTGATGTCTGCTCTCCAGGGTTTGATGTACCATTGCTTACAACAGCAAAGATGCCACTGATGGGGAGTGTTCTTCTGTATATGTTTCTCCTATTGGTTGGTGAATAAAACACCGATTGGCCAGTAGAGGCAGGTGATAGGCAGGCCTGGGAGACAAGGAGAATTCTGGGAAAGGTAGGCAGAGAGAGAGTGCGGAGAGATGCCATGTAGCCAAGGAAGGGGTAACGGGTCTGGACCCTTTTCCAGTAAGATAAGACCATGTGGGAATACTTAGATTAATAGAAATAGGCTAGTAAATAAGAGTGAGCTAGCCAGTAAGAAGCCCAAGCCATTGACTAACAGTTTTATAATTAATATAGCGTCTGTGTTGTTTATTTGGGGCAAATTGGAGGAGAAACCTCCTTCTACACATGCCGCCTAAATGCCCATTGGTGATTGGGCAGCTAAACAGTAATGTGGTAAATACATGAACATTGCTTTATCATATCACACAGAGAAGGAAAACAGTGTCACGGGCATGCTCAGCCTTAAGTGGGACATCTACATGACTCTCCCCTCAAGACTCAGTGAACCATTTCTGAAGAAGGAACAGAAGACTACTGTAAAAGCCCGAGGCTGGGCATGATAGGGAACAAACAGTGTTTTGGGGCATGACCCAACTGTGGCACTCAAGCTCTGAGCAGCTGTGGTCATCTGTGTTAGGGTTGCACAAGATAAAGTCAGTCTACACATTCCAGCGCAGGGAAGGAAGAGGGGAAGGAGCCCCATCCCTAACTTTACAGCTATGGACAGTTGATGGTTTCTCAGGGAGAGGTGCAGTTTTATTTAAGGGTGCAGGCACGGGTAGGTTAACCATATTCCAGTGGATGGCCCCACTGGAATGTGGACAGGATAAACTGGACTTGATGAGCCATTAAAACATAACAGAGAACACCAAGTTGGAGGTGTCACTGGGGGGTGGTATATCTGTAAGGAGTTAAGGGGAAGGAGTGGGAGTGAATATGATCAAAATATGTCATATGAAATACTCAAAGATTTAATGAAAACATGATGAAAAGCTGTCATTATCAGGCATCTGTACTGGCCTGTCCTTGGGGTTCTGACAAGATACGCCCTCAGTTGCAGCCACTGAGAGCACCACCTGTGCATATTCACTAGGCTCCCACCTCCAATCATTCTCTCTCTCCCTCTTTCTGTCTGCTCCCCCTCTCTTCCCCTCTTTCTTCCCTCCTGCTACTTCTGTCTCCAGAGTCCAGTCTCCCCATTTCCCTTTTTTATAATCCATTTCCCTAATAAAAAAAAAAACCTCTGCTTGAACCCTGTAACATGGTGTCTTTCTCTCAAGAGCTGTTTAAATTACAACAACAGCTTCTTAGCATTTGATCTTGGCAATGATTTCTTGGATATGACATCCAGAAGGCAACAAGAGTGAAGATAGACAATTGGGGCTATATGAGACTAGAAAACCTCACAGAAAAAGAAATCATCACTGAAACTGCAGAACAAAAGAAAATAATTGCAAAATACACACCTGATGACCTGCAGATGTCCAAATTCTAGGAGGAATGCCTACAACTCAAAAGCAAACGCCAAATAACTGAGTCTAAAGCCAGACAGGGGAACTGAACAAGCAGCTCTCCAAAGCTGTTATTCAACTGCCCGGTGGATATTGATAAGTAAAATATGGCGTGAGTTGGGACCATAGCAGATCCTATGGTGGCCAAAGGACAAACACACCAGCAGGCAGAACTTACACGGGAAGGAAGTGTGTGTGTGTGGGGGGGGGAGAGAGAGGGAGACAGACAGACAGACAGACAGAGGCATACAGAGACAGAGGCATACAGACAGAGACAGAGACAGAGAGAGACAGAGACAGAGAGAGACAGAGAGAAGAGAGAGAGTGAGAGAGGCAGAACACACAGAATGCACAATCCTTCAGCCTTCATGTCCAGAGTAGATCACAGGTATGCACTACTGTACCTGACCACAAGAGGGCAAAGTCAAACAGGAAGTTGGCTTTCTTCCATTACCTGCTCAGTTCCATACCTGTTCAGCTACAAGCCAGAGTCACAGTGGAATTTCTCGTATCCAGGAAAAGTCAATATGCTCAGGAGGCACACCCAGAATAAAAACATGCCCAGGCTCCTAGCTTGGGAAATGGACAAGTGAACCCAGGTGTTCCTTAACGCCTCTAACTCTCTGATCACCGTTGTCTCTAGATGCACTATACCATACTTACTCAGCTGGTGTGACTGTCCCTTTGCCCAGAGGACCCAGGAAATTCCTAGATGTCTCATTTTATGACTCTATATGCCACACAGCAAAAAGGGTCCCCAAAAGTTAGGGAAAGTCTGGCATTTCATATGATTGTTTTGTGGAACTCTCTGTGG